GGCCTGCACTTGGAAAGTGTATATCCTGACCCAAATTGCTCCAGTATCCGATGGTGCCTGGGTGTCCCCCTCAGTGACCTCAGCTTCTGCCCATCGCAGCTTTATGTAGGCCCGCCTCAAGTCAGTTTTAGCCATCAAAGAAAAGACCTAGAGAATTGCTTTGAGCAATCTAAGGTGCTGACTCTATGAAACGCTTGTAGGCATCAGGAGAACTGCCCTGAGGCCGCACAAGAACCATCTGTGCTAGTTGAAGTAATCTGTCAGAGGGTCTAGTCCCGTGCAGAAAAATGTTTATCCATCCTGTCCAGGATTGCGCCTCATGACATCTCATAGCATCACTTCCGGCCTGCTTCACGCGCTCCTTTTCTGTCAGCCGCGAGAGAAAATGGCGTCTGCAGCAGCATTGCCACCGCCATTACTCTTCTGATTTTCACAACATTTCAAGTCGTCTCAGGACACTTGATGCAGTGTGCGCCGATATCATTTGTCAGTTTCACTTGCCTCTATGGTGTGGATGCAACACCCAGTGAATGCCACGAGACTCTATTTCAGCAAAACAGCAACCACAAGAAGACTCTATGAGTAATCAAAACCCGTCATCTTCTCTTCTCTTCTTCTCGTCATCATCTCTTCTCGTGGAGCAACCCAGCCTTTACCTCCTCCATGGTCCAAACACTCATCTGAACGCTTTTGCAACGGTGAGAAAAGCTTTGGTGCGCAGACTTGCAGTCGTGGCAAATGAACCTGGCAAAAGCAAACATATCCTTTTTCTCTTCAGCTTGTTAATTTCGTGTTCGTTCACAGTCTTCAGTTACGCGTAGAATCTTGGAAATTGGAAGTACAATCTCAAAGAAGACTTGGTAGGGCACGTTTTGAACGTTGTGCAAACCGCACCAAAGCCCAAGCTTTCCTCTTTCAGGCAGTTGGGGCATACCTGGAAACATTGGCAGAACACCTGGAGTTTTGTGGCTGGATCAATTTCAAGACTTGTGCACCCGGTTCTTTGGCAGACGCCGTACTCTTTGCAGCTCTCTAGCTGTGGCCTGATAAAGACTGGCGAGATCACTTTCCAAATCGAAAGTCACATCCGCAGAAAATCAAGTGGAAAGTACACCGACTTCACATCTTGCTTCCTTGTCGGTCTCTGCCATCACAACCTCAGAGTAGTTGGTTCAATCCTCTGTACGACCGTGACTGTTCTGTCAATTCACTATGTCAAGTTCAAACGTCAAACCAGGCCATTGACCCAAACGGTTCAAGCGTAGTCACAGCGTCCTCCAACCCTTTGGCTGAAAAGGCGAGCAAAAACCTTTCGTGTGAACATTACACATTGGCCACGTTGGCTGTAATGCTACATGCTCTGTGTCTTCTGATGCCTACTTTGCTGCTAGAAAGGGCTTTGATACATATATACATACAAGTTTAAGAATGTGCTTGAAAAAAACGTATGCCTTGAGCAGTGTGAACAATATTCACATCATGAAAGTGCAATTCATCCATCGACAGAATGTAAGTCTTTTCACAAACAAGTTGTTACCAGTTCAAACTTCCTTTTGCCAGTGGGAGATCAGGCTCTTCAAGCAAAGTTTCCTCGAAGGACAACCAAATTGATGCAAAGGTCAGGGATCTAAGTGGCAACCTATCAGCTGACTTAATTGAGCCAACATCGAATTAAATGTGCAGCACCTGTTTGACTGAAATTGATGGTGCCTCCAAGCAAAGCAACCCGTCTCAACACTTAAACACTTCCAGCAGGCAAAATGCTGGCCTACCATTTGTGTTGTCTACGAATGCATTTGCTCCAGGACCTAGGACATTTCGTATATGTACATTGATTGCATCACAACAGCCACGGCCGCCTGCTATCAAAGTTCGTTGCAAGATATTTGTCAATCAAGCAGTACAAGAGGTTTCATTCACTCGATTCCACCTGCATAGCTGGCAATCTCGCCGGGCTCCGAAGCCCCTTACCTTGTGTGACCCAATCGATGCGCAAAGCAAGTCGCAGAAACGATGTGGTGTTTCATCATGAACTGCTAGGAGTGTGTCACCATGCTTCAAAAGTATATATAGCCAAAACATCAAACTCTGCTCCTCTCAAGGCTAGAACCGCCAACATGCAAACTGTGTGAGCAAGCACTCGGCCGCATGGAGCAGCACACATCCTGCAAGCTCTGTGCCAGCTTGAGGGTCCTTCTGCACATTCTTCTACTGCTTGAAGAACAATAATGGACTATCTTGTGCTGCTCAGGTTCGGTGCAAGCGATGTTGGAGGCAGTAGGCTTCCGCAACAAACTGCGCAAGTTGGTGCGTAGACCCCCTGCCAACAGACTAAGAAACATCTTCAACATGTTAGTTCCTTTGGAAGATAGTGTTGATTCTCTGTGGTAATTGAGCCCTCTGTTCGCCTTGCCGCAAGGGCAGTCTATCAATCGAGTCGATCCGACCTCATGCCGGAAAAATGCAAACGAATTAGAAAAACAATAATCCTCGCATAGAAAAATATGTCACCTGTCTTGCAAAGAAGAGGCTTCGAAGGATGAGACGTTCTGGGCTCGCAAATAGGCTTGGGTGCAGTCTAGATGACATATCCTCATGGAGGCTTTGACACAATTTTCAAAAGTCATGCTGCAAACTGTGCCTGACAGTGCCTCTGCCCGTCCTCCCGCACCGCACACTACAAGGTGCTTCGAACTGTGGCGGTAATGGCACCTTCTCATTACACACCTGGGAAACGACGGAGTCAAACTCCGCCAACTCCGCACGTCTATCTCTCTCTCCATTTCAATACCAGCCTCACACTCAGGTACCGGGACCATGGCCATGCTCACAAGTCCGGGGTTGCAAACGCTGCGTTTTTGCAGAGTGGAAAATGGTTTGCTGTTTGTGGTGAAGTTCAATCATGGTGAAGCACAAGCATGGTTTCTGTTGATTCTGCCCGAACCTTGCGAATCTTCTGTTCCAACTGCTATGACATAGGGGTCTGAGGGTGTGTGTGTGTGCCCCTTGTAGTCACAGGGATTCGTTTGAATTGTTTTTTTGTGCTTAGCAGGGGGGCGATGAACACTTTGGAAGGCATTGCCCAACGAAGACCCTTCCATCGTGTTGTGATATTCCTGAGGGACGCCTCGGGAACGTACCTGCAACAATTTTTAAAGTTTGCGGCAGTCACGCACGGAACGCCGTCACTTCGACCTGATCGCCGACCTCGACCTTGTGCTTTGGGCCTCCTTTCCTTTTAAGACCTCCAGGATTCGATGGCTTCCTATTGGTACTCTTAGGAATTGGAACCCTAGGCCGGCGTGTGGCACCGCTATCAGTTCAGTACGCATATCCATAAGTGTGTTTGGCCTTGTGCCACCCCGGGATGAGCCCGCAGAGTGCCTCCCGTAGACCCGTCGAACGGGGGTTTGTCGTTATCTCCCCGGAGATGCAAGTGCCCAGAGCGGGCGTAGGTGGCCTAGGCCGAGAGAATTCTCATCTTTGGAATTCCAAGTTGGCTTATGCCTTTACGTGACCGCAGCGGTCTAAGCAGCCAGCCGTATTGGCACGGCGTACGTGGCCGCAGCGGCCGAAGCTTGTTCAAGGTTCATTGGAACCTGTCCCAACCTCAGGCGCACACACAGCGCTTACACTCAAACGAGGCAGGTCCCTAGGTGCTTCCGATGAGGTTTGGTTTCATCGGTTCTCGTCCCCTCCATTTGGTTCCCCTTTCATCCCTGCCCCTTCACACACTTTTGTTTCCTCTTTTCTTTCATGTCCTCCTGTCTTCATGTCTGTTCATCTCATCCTTTTCTTCGTTTGCGTGCACATTGGTCCCGGCCTTAGTGTGTACGTGCACTTCTACATACCTTTAAACACAGGTTTTAGGTCGCCAGGTCTTTACAATGAGGTGGGCTTCATCGGGTGTCCCTGTGCACTTGGTTCCCCTTTCATTTCAACCACACGCACCTTTGTCCCGTCTCGTCCTCCTGTCACGTCTTCATTCTTTTGTTTGCCCGCGCACACGTGCACATTGGCCCTCACCTTAGCTTTACGCCTCCCCTCGGGGAGGCGTGTGTGTGCGCCCCTTGTAGTCACAGGGATTCGTTTGAATTGTTTTTTTGTGCTTAGCAGGGGGGGGCGATGAACACTTTGGAAGGCATTGCCCAACGAAGGCCCTTCCATCGTGTTGCGATATTCCTGAGGGACGCCTTGGGAACGTACCTGCAACAGTTTTTAAAGTTTGCGGCAGTCACGCACGGAACGCCGTCACTTCGACCTGATCGCCGACCTCGACCTTGTGCTTTGGGCCTCCTTTCCTTTTAAGACCTCCAGGATTCGATGGCTTCCTACTGGTACTCTTAGGAATTGGAACCCTAGGCCGGCGTGTGGCACCGCTATCAGTTCAGTACGCATATCCATAAGTGTGTGTGTCAACCCCCGTTCCAAGGGGCACTAACCTACTCTACTCTGTTCCGCTTGAGTTCATGTGAGCTTTACAACTTGTACAGAAGCAGGGTGGCAGTGATCCTTTCAACAGCCACTGCCTAACAAAGACGCTGTTGTTCGGATGTGATATTCGGAGAGGACGCTCTCTGAACGTACCTGCGCGAATTGTCTGAAGCCAAGCTCGGCAGAGCACTCATCTCAAGTGTGATTCGCAGCTTCTTCCCACTGTGGTAAGCTGTGTGAACCCTACGGGGCGCCGCTACCGAGTTGAATTTCCTCTCCTTTTCATAGGAGTACTGCACTGAATTTGTCTGCTGAATCCTTCTACTGAATTTTGATGCTCGAAGTGTGATTGACGGAAATGTTTCACACAGTACGCGTGAAGGATCGCTGCAGAGCTTACTGACATCTACTCTGAATTCAGCTGCAGAGCTCACTGAATCTGTTTCACCACGGAAGCTTTCCAAGTTTTAATTAGACCGCTAAGTATTCTTAGGTTCCCCCAAGTATTCATTTTATATGCGCCGACTTCGGCTTCTCGGCCAGTGCCTATGGGCCCATGCCGTTTGCTCGCAAGAGCATCCACCCCACCCCACACCCCCTGCAGCTTTTCTTGTTTTTCCTTGCCTTTTCGTTTGTCTTGTTCCTTCCTTCAGGCTTGTTAGGTGACATCCAGGCTCGTTTAGTCAACGCACGCCCTGCCCCCCCCGCACCCCCTGCACCTTTCTCTTCTTTCCTTGCTTTTTCGTTTGTCTTGTTCTTTTCTTCGGGCTTGTTAGGTGGCATCCAGGCTCGTTTAGTCAACGCACGCCCGAACACCCCTCCACACCCCTGGCAAGCAAGAAAAGAAAAAGGAAAAGCACACTTTGTGCTGCGGCGTTGCGGCTTTCCAGAAAAAGCGCTCTTGCAGCTTGACTGGCCCACGATTGGTACAGCTATACGTGACAAAAGGTCACTCCAAGGAACATTGTGCTGCAGAGTTGCGGCCTTCCAGAAAAAAGCGCTTGTACTGAGTCTTCCTAGCTGCGCCGTATTCGGCTTCTTGTGTGTGTCAACCCCCGTTCCAAGGGACACCTAACCTACTCTACTCCATTCCGCTTGAGTTCATGTGAGTTTTACAACTTGTACAGAAGCGGGGTGGCAGTGATCCTTTCAACAGCCACTGCCTAACAAAGACGCTGTTGTTCGGATGCGATATTCGGAGAGGACGCTCTCTGAACGTACCTGCACCAATTGTTTAACATATCCTAAAGAGCTAATGCGTTTGTTCAAACATTTGGTTGCGCTGACCTTTCATTTTTACGGTTCTGCAAGTCAAGCGCTAAGTATTCACATAAAGTGCTAATGCTCGCCGCGAATTGTCTGAAGCCAAGCTCGGCAAAGCACTCATCTCAAATGTGTCTGTGTCTGTGTCTGTGTCTGTGTCTGTGTCTGTGTGTTCCATGTACCCCAAGAGAGGTACAGGATGGGATGTTCATTTGTGCGCAATGGTTTGTTGGGTCTTGATCTACTGTCCCTGGCATCTCAGGCATTTAGCTCATGATCAAAGTGAGAGACTATGACTGTGAGAATGCAGACGCAGAAAACAGTCCAGCAGTGATGAACCAAGAAATGAGCTCCGTCAAACGCAAGTCTCTTGAGAAAGCAATCTGCATGGCAAACAGCACTCCTACAGTTACGGTTTTTCAGCCGATGCTCTCGCACACATGGAGAAGACCTTCCGGCCAAGCTGTCATAGCCTTTCACTACAATGCTCTATGTATGCATCAGTCCCATGCTGGCCTTGGAACATTGGGCCTAAAGACCCCACACAGGATGGATGCAGCATAGGCGATTCCAAAGCCAATGTCCACCACTCCATGCTGAAAAATGCATGAAGGATCATAGAGTTTCAGGTCGGATGCACCTGTGATAGGACCCATAATCCCCATCGCGACCTGGTACAAAATTGTGAGAGTCGCCAAAAATACTGGACTTTTTGGAACATCTTTCCAACGCTTGAGGATTCCATAGAAGAAGGGCGTCGTGATCCAAGCTGTGTTGATGTTGGCATAGTTCAATCGCATTTTGGCTGGTCCAACCATGTTGGTGAGGCCGGCAACGATTGGTATTTGGGTGGTCATGTATAATGCAAGGTACAACCACGGCAATTTCTTTTCCTTTGGCACGTAGCACAAGAGTGACAGAAAGCCGGGAAGAGCAATGCCGGCACTGTAAGCATATGCAAAAGCAAAGTTTGCAAATGCATGATAATGGCTGAACCAATGAAGTAGGAAGTGTGCAATGGCCTCAGGTACAAAAAGCCATGCGAAAAGTCTGTCAATCGGATCATTCCGGTATTTTTCTCTCCACATCACTGCTGCAAAAACCATTATGGCCTGTAACACGGAAGTGGTTCGCAAGGCCGGATGAGCCAAGTGTGGTCCATACTCAAGGCTGAAGTCACTGATAGCAGGATCAAATGAAAAGTTGCCAAGGCAAAAAAAAAGAATGGCAAAAGGGTGACAATGCAGGCAATCTTCACCATCTTGTATGCATACTCATTCTTGCTGCTGCTGTCTGGATCTGAAACATCTGAAGTTGCGCCTTTTGGAACTCGAATTTTCTTGGCCCTCAGCCCAGCAAAGCTGAACGTAGCAATGCCTGCAGAAACCAGCAACCTGTGACTGGATGAGGTGGTCGCCTGTGGCGAACTGGGTGCTTTGATCAACCTGCCACTTTGCGTCCGGAGCGCATTGCCAAAACCATTGCTCGGGAGAAAGTTGAATGCCAACGCCATGGCTTCTTCACACAATATTGAGCCAGCTGATACAGGTTCAACGTGATCGGCATGAGAAATCAATGTGCCTTGCTTTACATCGATATGTTTAAAGTTAAAGAAAATCTGTGGTTTGAGTGAGTGGAACCAACAACAAGATGGAATCGAGGCCACTCCTGGAACTGTGACTGAGCTAGCATGGAGAGCAATACACCGAGCGCAATCTTATTGTAAGAATACTCTCATATATATATATATGTATATGCTAGTGTGAGTAGTGAGTAGTAAGGATAAGCTGAGTCCAAGACCAACCAAAAGTGCAAGGAACTTCAGAAAAATAGAGGCATGCAGCAGCATGCAAAACTCAAACCTTTAACAACAACTGTGCTTACGGAGTAAACAAACTGAATGTGTAGACTCCTGGAGTGGCAATGGGACCTACACACAACCAGCAACAGCCGGCTTTTCAAGGCAGCATCACCGCAGGACTGTTGGCACGATCTTCTGAATTCAACTTACAAAATTCCTCAAAATCTGCAGAAACTTCTAATGTCACGTCATCAAGAAGCTCTGTGTAACAAGGAATTTCGCTCCCTCCCTCCCACTACAAAAATAATACAACGAGCAACAACAAGCACTCACAAAGCGCAAACAATGGCAATGCTGCACCCACATGA